AGAAACTGGTGGATTCTAACTGCATGCCTTTGGGATTGTAGTGCAGCTTCTTACCACTGGGCCACTAAAGCTCCCTTGCAATCATAGTTTTGTATATAAATAATATTTAGAGCTTTCTAGAGGAAGTAAGTGGGAAACCCTGCTTGCTTAGTGGTCAGGAATTCCACTGCCAACCTAAAGAAAGGAGGTTCGATTTCACCACTGTTCCATTGGGAAATTATGCCAATCTCCTATAGCCTCTGAAAGCCTGTTGAAGTTTCATCAGCTTTGATTTGGTTCCAACTTGAGGGCAAATAACCATAAATAAAAGGAAGTGTTTCATTTCTTGTGCTTAAAACATATCCATATCCGTATCCATATATTTAAAAGGGACAGGAATTATTTTAGAAAGAGAATGTGTGTGTGTGTGTGTGTGTGTGTGTGGTCCTGTTCAGTACCACCAAGTCAGAGCCAATCCATAACTAACCCTCGGGTTTTTAGAGGCATTTAATCACATAAGAGGATATTATTAATTTTCACCCACAAAGTAGCTGGTTGATTTGAAACTGCATACCTTTGGGTTGCTAACACAACCTCTTAACACTAAGGTAACATAGCTCAAAATTATAGCTACTGTAGTATTAAGTCAGTAGAATGTTTAGTATTAATATATTTTAGAAATATTCTTTTAAGCATATTACTTATAAATATTAAAGTAATTATGAAGAACCCATTAGTCACTCCAAGAGAAAAAGACATGGCAGTCTACTTCACTAAGATTAACAGCTTCGTTTTGTTCACCTACGACTCGATAGCACTTAACAACAATAACATCAACATAGAGACCAGTTGGCCTACTGGAGAGAAAGTGATGCTACCAAGCCAAAGGTGGGTGACTTCTAACCCATGGCCCGCAGGCCTGTTTTTCATTGTTTTTGTTCAAACATTTTTCTAGGCGATACAGCCCTGGTATGTCCACTTGCCATACAGAGGTAACTTGTGGTTGCTGTGAAGCTGAACACTGTGACACTGATGTGTCAAATGCGAATACATTTACCCATGGTGGACAGTGTCTGGTGGCACTCCCCAATTAAAACAAGCTTGGAAGCAGCAGTGGCATCCACTTCCGTAAATAGCTTGCCTCCAGAAACCCTATGAACCTGGAAAGAGGATGAAAGTCACACAAGTGTTGAGGACTTTCGTTCATAGGCTATGAGTCGCCTTCGATTCGATGGCACTTAACAACAACAACAACAACAACAACAACAACAAATCCTATGGAGCAGTTCAAGTCAGTCCTACAGGTTTGCTAGAAGTCCCAATCAACCTGAAAGCAATAGCTTTAGGCTTGGGTTTGTTTTAAGCAGAAGAAACGGATCACTTCCTTTTATTTACAGTTTCAATGATTATGCAAAAGCATTTTACTGTGTGGATCACAACAAACTGTGGCTGACTCTGAGAAGAATAGGAATCCCAGAACACTTGATTGTGCTTATGTGAAACCTATGCTTGGACCAGGAGGCAGTTTTCAGAATAGAGCAAAGAAATACTGCATGGTTCAAAATTGGGAGGGGTATATGACAGGGATGTGTTCTATCTTCATACCTTTTCAATCTATATACAGAACAGATTATCCGAGAAGCTTGGCTCTATGAGGAAAGTGCAGCATCAAGGTTGGAGGAAGACTCAGCACCAGTCTGTGTTATGCAGATGACAACACCCTGCTTGCAGAAACTGAGGAGGACCTGAAGCTTCAGAAGGTCAGAGACTACAGCATTCAGTATGGATTGAGGCTCAATATCAAGAAAGCAAAATTCTCACCACTGGGTCAATTGGCAGCATCATGATGGATGGTGAAGAGACTGAGATTGTTCACAGCTTTAGTTTACTTGGCTTCACAATCAACAGTCTTGGCACCAGCAGCCAGGAAATTAAAAGATGTATTGTGGTGGGAAAGTCTGCAGTTAGCGACCTCTCTAAAGTACTGAAGAGCAATGATATCAGTCTGGAGACTGATAGGTGTGCCTGATCCAGGCCATGGTTTTTGCAATCACTTGCTAAGCATCAGAGAGCTGGACAATGACTAGGGATGATAGAAGGAGAATTGATGCCTTTAAGCTGTGGTGTTGGAGAAGAATATTGAATATATGATGGACTACTACAAGAACAAACAGATTTGTCTTGGAGAGGGTGAAACTAGGCTGTTTCTTGGAGGCAAGGATTCTGAAACTTCGTCTGACATACTTTGACATATTGCAAGGAGGGACCAGTCCTCAGAGAGGGACATCTTGCTTGGGAGGGTGGAAAAACAGCACAGGAGAGGAAGACACTCAATGAGATGGATTGATTCAGTGACTGGGGCAATGGGGGTAGGTGTGTCATAGACAATAAGGTTGGCCCAGGATAGAGCAGGGTTTAGGGCTATTGTACATAGGGTCACTCTGAGTTGCTGGTGACTCGATGGCATGTAACAACAACAACATAGTTAACACATTGCCTCCCTTTTTAAGTTTTTTACTTTTATACCCATCATTTACTCTTCCAGATTCTACAATGTTGTTGTTGTTCTACAATAAAATAGAAAAATTTCTTTTAATATTATAAAACAAAATGAAAAAGGTACTCCCATAAAGGTTGTATTTTTTGGATAAGTAACATTAGGATTGATGGAAGAATCATGATTAACCTGCTTTATATAAATGACACAACCTTACTTGCTGAAAATTAGGACTTGGAGCACTTGCTGCAGAAGCTAAAAGACTATAGCTTTCAATATGAATTGCCTTTCAACACTAA